AGTTTATAGCATTGATTCATTTTAAAGTCTGAGAATTCAAATGTATGTGATATGATCTAGAACTTGTTCATTGATTCATTTTAGCAAAACAGAAAATAAATTAAACAGAAAACTGTAACTGGTGTTTGAAACTTCCAAATGGTAGTACTTTCTCTGTAAGTTTCCACATAAAGCTACCATGGTAATTGAAGCTTTGAAAATATATGAAACACTTAACTGCTGATAAAGAAGAATGAAAAACAAAAATGGAAAAAGAAGAAGAACAGAAAATAAATTAAACAGAAAACTGTAACTGGTGTTTGAAACTTCCAAATGGTAGTACTTTCTCTGTAAGTTTCCACATAAAGCTACCATGGTAATTGAAGCTTTGAAAATATATGAAACACTTAACTGCTGATAAAGAAGAATGAAAAACAATAATGGAAAAAGAAGAATACAAAAACGGAAGAAAAGGAAAGAGTTTCAAGTGATGACAGTAGGTATGCAAGTGTTAAGTTTTGATATCACTGATAACATATCTAATTGTAGGTGGAAACTTTTCCATCAGTGAAACAACTAAGGATTCAAGCTAAACCTGTGCAATATATATTCGGATAATTCAATATGGGAAACAGAAGTACCTGGATGATTGTTATAATTCAATATTAAGACATTTCCCATGAATTTGGGTCACCTAATATCTAGGGAATGGGAAATAGAAGTACCTGGATGGAAAAAGTTTTCACCTAAAAGCCTTCTGAAAGTAGGCAAATTATACCAATTGATGAAATGATGATAGATGCCATGAGTAAGCAACATAGGAAGTATAAAGCTCTGCAAAATAAATTAAGAAGAGGCTCACTTTGTGCTTCAAAGTGGAAGTTGCAGCTACTCCCCGAAGGCACATTCATGAAAAACATGAATAGTTGAGCTACTCCGAATCATCACTCGAAGATTGATTCGTAAACTGTGGTAGTTAAACCTGGAAAAAGAAAAGTGAGAGAGGGGAATTGAACAAACAATTAATTAATGATTTGATTTGATCAGAGTATTAATTACCTCTTATATTTGGGATGTGAGAAATCTTGTGCCATTCTGGGCCATTCTCCTTGGCACATCTTTCCGCTAGATGGGGACATCCATCAATGTATAGTTCTCTTAAGTTGGTGAGGCGTTGCATAACTTCAACGGTAGGCAGATACATCAGATTCTTACAATTATTGATATTCAGGGAGATAAGAGATGAAAGGTTACCCAACCACTCTGGAAGAGCCTCCATGCTGTCGAAAAAACCTAAATCAAATTCTTCTAAACAAGTAGTCAAGTGTTGAATTTGTTGAGGCAGAGACTTGAGCTTAGGCCACCCTGAGATCCCTAACACTTGGATTTGTGATGGAAGCTCAAAATCAGGGAAAGAATCGAGCTCCTCCCAAAACATACCGATTGTCATTCTTTTCAAACTCCTCAGAGAGCGTAGCCCCGTTGGCAAATATTTTAATTTCCGACAATGATATATATATAAAGAGGAAAGAGACTGCAACCTGGACACATCGACATCTGCCAGCGAGATCAAATTGTGGCATATACCGATTGTCAAGCGGTTAAGAGATGTGCAGGATTGAATCCCCCTCGGTAGACTTGTGAGTCCATCACAAACCCGAATAGACAACTCACGGAGGGATGTGAGGTTGTCTAAACTGGGAATAGCTTCTAGATTAGTGCAATACTCTATCCACAGCTTCTCAAGAGAGACGGGGTTCTGTAGCGCATCAACCGGTAAATGCCTCAAATTTTGACAATATTTAATATCCAATTCCTGAAGAGAGGTGCAATATTCCAACCCACTCGGCCAGCCTGATAATTTCTCACATCTCCAAATCTTCAATTTGCGGAGACATGGCATGCCCTGGCTCTGGGTGGTAATTGGAATGAACTCTAGACTAGGACAGTCAATGGACAATTATCTAGAGTCAACTCCTCAAGAGAGACGAGGGTCTGTAGCCCATCAACCGGTAAATGCCTCAAATTTTGACAATTGTCAATATGCAATTCCTGAAGAGAGGTGCAATATTCCAACCCACTTGGCCAGCTTGATAATTTCTCACAATTCCAAATCTTCAATATGCGGAGACATGGCATGCCCTGGCTCTGGGTGGTAATTGGAATGAACTCTAGACTAGGACAATTATCTAGAGTCAACTCCTCAAGAGAGACGAGGGTCTGTAGCCCATCAACCGGTAAATGCCTCAAATTTTGACAATTGTCAATATG